CACACACACACACACACACACACACACACACACACACACACACACCCCAGTGCTAAATTCTCAAAGAGGCAGGGCCAGCCTGGGCTTCAGACACCAGGGGAGGGAAGACATTTAACCAGCGCTCAGAAAGAGATGGGGCGAAAAGGCAATTCCTAGTTTAAAAAAAGTCTAGATGTGAGGAACTTCCTTACAGTTTTATATTTTAACGCTGGCTTTACTTGGCATCAACAGAAGGCCTCCGTAATTGCCGTCGGTGTGTAAGGCACTAACAGCTGTCCGGGCGGACCCTGCTTCATGAACGGGGAGGTGGGGGAACACGCGCGGGCTCCCACACATGGAGGCAGCCATTTGCGATCACGGGCAGCACGAGCTTGCTTCTCTGAGACCCCACCCGGGTCCAAGCACAAAGGGTGGGTTGAGGCACACTCTACTGCAGCCTGCCATTCCTCTATACCCCTCCTTCTGTCCCTGAGACACCCAGTCCCACTACAGCCTGGTGCCAAACGAAAGGCCTGAAAGTCTGTCGGGAAATCTCAGCATTGGCTGCTCTGCTGTAAAATGAATAATAATAACAATAATAATATCATCATAGTATTAGGCCAATTTTCAAATTCCATTTATTCCCCCCTCCCCTATTCTTCCTTTTTAAGAGCTGTTAAGTATGAAAGACTTATACAAGAATGTTAGTGCCTCAAGGGGAGTCCCTCGGGGACATGGGGCACAGTGAACGGTGCGACCCTTTGCTGGGCATGCTACACAGTAGGGGATGCTGGGTCCCTCTAGGGTTTCCCGTACGGGCTCCAATAAATGTCTTCCCTTTTGCTTAAAAAAAAAAGAATGTTCAGTGCATCTTATTCATAATGGCTTAATGCCAGGAGACCATCCAAATGTCCACTGCCCTGGCACCATGGGCTGAATGCATGAATTATCTTCTGTCTTCAGTTTTCATTATCCAAAATATCATGGCTTGGATAAGGTGCACCTTAGTCATCACAGTGATGTCTTGGTGTTTAAAACTCTCAAAAGGGGTTTTGCAGCAGATTTTCCCACTCCGAGAAACGTCATTTGATTTCCAGACCGTTGCTCCAGACTGTCAGCTTGTCCTGGGTCTCTGTAGTTGACCATCTGATCAGCAACAAACAGACATCACCACCAGTTGGGGCATGTCTACCTGCCTGCTCAGTACTTGGTGCCATGCTCGGCTCTGGGAGTCCGTAATGGTACACCGAACCCGGCCTCAGCCATTTCATTGACAGCCTGGGGCTCAAGTACAACCCAGACAAGACCGCAATGTGATGAGAGCCTTGTGCATGACTTCTCCTAGCCAGCCACCCCCTGCCGGGTCGTGTCAACCCCCACAGTCCCCTCTGTGCTGTCCAAAAAGCCTCTCAGGGAACTTCACGCACTTTACATAACAAGAAGTGACTGGTCACAGCACCTTTTAGTTTTGTTTTGGAAAATATCTATAACAACTGTAGAATTTTCAACAGCACACCACTAAATTTTCCATTTTCATGTGTGAAGCCAGTCTGGACATAACATGCGATGGTGTCTGTTGAATTTATGAAAATATTAATGAGCTTTGCAGGTGAGAAAAGGCAGGTGGCGAACAACACGGGGACCCACTCGAGAGGTCTTTAGACCTGAGCCTAATGTAGGTGTATCTCATGATAGTCCCGTTTCCACACTGACCCTCACAACAGACATTTAGGATCTCACACTTCAGGAGGCCAGAGGTCTAGGGTTGGTTCTTTCTGAAGGCACTGTTCCCAGCCATTCTCCTTGCTTCAGGTGGTTGCCCTTAGAAATGTTTGGCATTGCTTGGCTGGGAGATGATCACTCCCAATTCTGCCTTCACCATCCCACATCCCTTACAAGGACACCAGTCACTGGTACAGAAGGTGAGTACATTTGCTGGCTAACTGTAAGACGAGAGGTTTGAATCTACACAGAGGTGTCTTGTAAGAAAGGCCTAGCGATCTTCTTAACAAGCAAACAAACAAAACAAAGCGCACAGTCCTTGAAAGCCCCCATGGAGCACAGTTAGACTCTGGCACACGAGGGGGTTGCCAGGCAGCCGAGTTGACTCATGGCAGCCAGTTTTTTATTTCATAACTCAGTCTGATCTCATTCTGACATAACCAATTACATCCGGAAAGGCCCGATTTCCAAACTAAAGTCGCATTTTAAGGTTCCAGATGGATGTGACCACTAGAGGGACATCGCTTAACCCAGTATGGAGTTCAACGGGGTGGCACATGCACAGCATAGGGAAGTCACCAAGAGCCGCCCCGGGCTTTTTCATTGTGCTGACAAACAGCAAAGAGCTCCGTGGAGGCAATGCTGGGGTACCAAGAGCCTCGAATCAGGACACTTCACAGAGATCATCTGAATGTGCTGCCTTTCTTACAAACGCAGAGGATCTCATGACCCTGGACCCTACTCCCAGGATGTGACAATTTACTGGAGCTCAGAGGCCACTGACCCCTTCAGTCAGGGCACAGCTGTCCAGCCCTCCACTTGCTGCCATTACCTGCCGGCCCTGGAGGCACGGAGTTTTCAACCTCTCAGTAGAGGTAATGAAAGGATCTCTTTCTTTGCTTTTTTAACAAAAACCCAGAATGCATCCTACCCTGTTGACTAAGTTCTGTGAACATGATCTATGGGCAAGCATAGACAATCTACATAAGGGATGAATTTATTAGGAGAAAATCTTAGGAGGCAAAACAGCTCTGGCCAGCTTATACAGACTCAAATTCAAATGCCTTAGCTTGGCATTTAAGGGACCAATCGAACCTTCCCAGCTGTTTCTCCTGCTAAGCCCTTTCAGGTACCCAGGGAAGCCCCCGATGGACCCTCTAGCCCTCTGTCCACACGGGACCCTCTGCCTGCAGCCAACTCAACCCTCGACCCACATCAACCAAGCTCAGGCAAATGTCATTACCTGCACTGAGACTTGCCTGGCCCTCACAGGAATCAGCCACAACTCACACTGGCTTGAGCAGCATCTGCTAATTCCCCACCCACCCCGCACCCCCATCCAACCACCACCACCACCCTACCTCCCTAAGCCAGGCACCTCTCCTGGGGGGCTGGCATGCTGTGGTGTCTGTCCATCCCCCCTGGACTTGCAGCTCTCAGAGGGGAGGGCCTGCCTGCTCAGTGTGTGTGCATGAGCATGCAGAAAGACTAAAGGCAGCATGTCCCCTAATTCTCCTTGCAGCGTTTGCTTCTCATACTAAATGTTCCCAGGGAATGCACAACTGGTGTCCTGGCCAGATATGATCTAATGGGCTGGTGTGACAGGGATGGGGGAGGCCAATCAGAGGAAGAGCCCAACCCACACCCACACCCACACCCACCCCCTCAGGCCCTGTACAGCCCCAGGCCACTGCAGGCTGGTTCAGCAGGAACCACAAAGGTACAAATGGATGGGTAGAGAGAGGTGGATGCCTCCTTCCCTGATCCCAAAGACGTTGGCAGTTCCCAGAACTCTGAGCAAGGAGTTCGTTCCCTCTGGCTTCTCACCCCTCAGATCCACTTCCTGGTGGCTCCCTGGGTGGAAAATATCACGCTGAAGGTAAAGGGCCTCCCTGCCCTGAAATACACCCTTGAGCAGCCCCATGAATGGGCCCAGGAGAGATGCACATACCAATCTCGCCCCTACTGGCAGCCTGGCCCCAAAAGAAGGTCCCGGGAGAGCCCAAGGCCTGTGTGCCAAGAGAGCTTGGCCCTGTGGGGGTCTCACCAAGCCACACTGAGTCATCTCATACTTATGTCCCAAGCCACGTCTGACCAGCGTCGTGAAGCGCAGGGGTGGCCCACACGTGCCCTGTTTGCCAGCGCCCAGGCCCACTGTCCCAGCACAGCGGACCCGTCGTCCCAGCAGCTGGTCAGCAGTTACTGCCAGCCTCAAGCTTCCATCCTTCCAGCCGACGCTCCACGGGGACACGATCTTCCTCCTGCCCCGTACCTTTCCCGGGATGACTGCTTTCACTTCTAAAACACAACGCTACATTGTTCTCTGT